GTGCTTCAATTGAACAATTATTTCCTGAAACTTGCGCTCTCTATGTTCCTTCCTTACTCTGTGAATACCGGGTAGGAGTGGACAGGATGTTTTGTACTTTCACATTTTTAGGATAACGACCCATATCGAATCATTTTTCAAGTTTGTGCAAACAGGAAATGGATTTGCAACATAACCTCTCAAAAATACCACAAAGATTCAAACATTACCAAACATGTTTTGCTTGCCTTTCATTTACCCTTCCTTCAAAGAATCAGAACATTTAGGATTTCGGGTAAGTACCGGTACATTTTAGGTTTGGAGGAATTTAATGATCTTCAGAATATAGGTATAGACCTATTCCTTTCCTAAAAGGTAGCAAATCAAGGACAATTTTCATAAAATAAGGATGACAATGAACTAAAATTCAAAGCTTCCCATATCGTATCCCCTAAGATAAAACTTGTATAGCAATAATGAATTACAGCTAAATCTTTCTTGTAATAAAAAGCTACATCTTTAATACTAAAATACAATAGTCAGATTTCCATATCAATTGAAATGATTGATATTATTATGTGTTTACAATCAGGAATATAAATTATCTAGGTTATCTCTCCCTCCTAAGCAAAATTATATTTTTATAATCTGTCATCACATCCAAAGCAAGGAGAAAGAGAATCTTAGAAGCTTACTGATCGAGGGAAGGAACTTTCTTCTACTATTTCTTTACCCCGGTAACTGGTTACCGATATACACTGCGATACAATGAATCCCTGATTTGCATCTATTGATGCTTCTGCAAAAGCTATGAGCTTCAAATATGGTTTACTGGTCTATCCCCCTGTCCACACACAACATTTTCCATGATTAGCTATACCGTTTCGCGATAGTGATACCGTTTCGCGATAGTTTTACGATGAAATTGTGTGTGTGGACGCTCACTAACGATACGTCGTATAACGAAACTAGTCTAACGAAACGCAGGTTTGGGCATCGTTTCGAAATGAAACTCAATAAAGAATCACGCCTAATCACGGAAAATGTTGTGTGTGGACAGGGGGAGTGTAACTAGTGTAACTAACTGGGCGGGGCTTAACGTGACCTCGAGCGAAAGGAGACCAGACTGTAGAGTTTCAGGATTACTTTCTGCTGTTTATGGACATCCTTGAATTTATACGATGATTATTTATATGACGTTTCTTGTGTGTGGACACTTTGAAATTTATACTATGATTCTTTATACGACGTTTCGTTATAGAGTTTCGGGATAAATTGTTTTGTGTGTGGACACGCTGTATATAAGGTAGAGTTATGAAGGATCAAATCATTATGATTTAGGTGTAATCATTGTTATGTCAAAAGAATTCCAAAGATGTGCTAAGATTGTGTGTTTGAAGAGCTAAAATGATACAAAAGTTTTCATAAATGTGGCAATGCCCACATATGGTTATACATGTATCATGATGATATAGTTGGTTACAAATAAATATTTTTTACATCAAGCTAGCCTCAACTTCACTATGATTTATATCAAAAATGTGTAAATTGTTAGCCATTTAGAAAGTACAGGAACATAATCATGATAGCAAACACAAATTTGTCTACAGCCGTCTGTCAAAGTCCACATGCGTTATTCCTTAAATATTTGCAAATTAGTGTTTGAAATCTCTCAGGATGCATTATAATTTCGAACAATGAACATGCTGGAACTCATCAAAAAGCCTATAGACAGACGATGATAATAAAATTCTTTGATCAAGTTTTTACTATGTCTATTTATCCAGCAGCATATATTGTCAGCAAGCATGTATGCATACATGAGCAAGTTTTGTTTTCAAGTAATGTTTTATCAGTCATGTTGTCTGTATATCTTATGGGTTATCAGTTCATGTATACGCAATAATGAATAACTCAAGATAAGATAGGCTTGTGCGTTATCTTGGAGTGAATATGACTTTGTGGATTTAATCCCTATATCTATATATAGGCCTACGGACATGTGTACATAATGTATACAGGTGTATATATTTACACGTAACCAGACCGATCTTTTACCATGGAACTCACAGGCGTAAATTTCAATATTGAGTGAATATCATATACCAGCATTTTGTATTTGTAATTTTAAATGGATCAGGATTGTATATATATATGCAATTCCTTTAGAAGAAAACAAAACAGATAAATTTCGAAGTCCAGTTGTTGTTTTTTTCCTGAAATATTCAGTAGGAAAGCATATTGACTTTTCAAAGCATAATTAAAAAATCTCGAAACCTTCAGTTGTGATATTTTATGTTTAGAAAAAAATATTTAAAAAAAATCTATACACCGGTACTCTTTCTAAGTTTCTACCGTCCTTGCCTTTTCCCTCTCTTCTTACTTATTTTCCCCTTTTTCAAGACAATAATACAACATTCTCTATATAAACTGCATACCTGCATTTATGTTGATGAATGACAACGAACAAATGATCTGGTCATGCTAATAGAGCTGATGTAGAGATTCTCGATGTTGGAATAATGATGCGAATGATTAAACGATCAGGGAATGATCATAAAACTCTGAGTCATCAACATATTTTGATTGCCTACAGTTTACAGGTGCAGACAAAGAGCAGATTGGAGGGTCCGCATAGCACAAAAGACCCCATTCTTATGCGGATCGCACTGGGTCGATCTAAACCGATCCATGACCAAGCACCTACAATGCCTTAACTGAAGGGTCCAATTCACACTCGACCCTATTCTCATGACAGACTGCATGGGTCGATCTAAAGCGATTCAAAAAGTTCTGAATGGTTAGGAATGTTGCATTCAATCTACAGACCAAGGCTATACTCCTCTAATTATACTATGGTCGCAGGTTTTTATTTTCTTTTAAATAATCAAACCATAGGAGTTTATCCACTCTGAATTCAATTGTCATCGTACATAATAAGAAGCCATTCCATGCAACGCTCGGACTGTATCGGAAAGAAGGTCTTTCTATAGTGGCCCACTTGATTGTTACGCAATTCGTTCCTTGGAGTGATTCCGGCCCCTAGATCCATCTAGATTTGTCCTTTCAAATAAACGGGTATAATGAGATGGAAGTATTGTTAAGTTTATATAGACCCGACCACAAAACTTTTCTAAGAAGATACCGAGACAGGCACGAAGGAAATACAATGTCTTTTGAAAAATCTGCGTGACAACTGACAAGGGTTTTATTTGCCTGTTTTCAAACATTTTGAATGAACTGTTCCACTGAAATCAAGAAAAAGATCTTTCTGAAAAGAAGTCTACATTTTCTCATGCTGCCTTCCCTTTGCAAATAAGGGGAGCTTTTCTGTAGACGTCTGTTCTCTATTGTAGTTGTGTATTTATTGAACACTCCCCATTCTGATTGGCAGTCAAAATATTTCTGAACATTTTTTTCTTTCAAAGCTACTCTGATGGAATCAAAGGTGGAAATGTCTTTTTTTTAATGAGACCTATAACATCACAGATTCATAATCCCTTAAACAATTGTAAAAGTTCAAGTAATTGATATCCAGAATATGCTGTCCTATAGATTTTAGATATGCCTATCTAGAGTTTTTACTCATAACATTTGAAGATATCCATCACCTACTTTTACATGTATCTATGATGACTTGAATTTTCAATAATTCCTCTCTGCACTCTTAACAATCTCTTTCGCAAAAATTCATAAAAGGACATTGGAAATTAAATAGCATTTCCAACCAAACAAATTAAAAGCAATTAGGCCTATATAAAAAGCAAATAAAATAGACTTTCACAGTTGTACCGAGTCACAAGAATTAGCCCTCTTAATCCAAAGTACAGTCATGGTAACCTTTGGGTTTGCAGACCAGAGTACAAACAGCGAAAAACGTCAAGTCACTTTGACGTAAATATATAGTCAGTTCTAAGTTCAATTCCTAGTAAAAACCCAATCCAGGCTTTACAACGCAGGGCAGTTCCATAGATGGGTGGTAAATATTTGACACCTTGTTATGATCACAACAAAGTCAAATAAAAAACGTTTCCATGTTTACTTTCTGCATGTTGAATTCCAACAATATCAGAATTTAAACACTTCAAACTTCCACCCCTGCAGAAGTAGTACAAAACACGAAAGGGCACATCTACAGAAAAAAGGACAATTTCCATCTGATAACCGACAAAAGATTGGCCAACCTTTTTGAGTGGCATATAAATCCCTGCAAGTTTGATGAGGTTGAAGTCCAACGTGTATTATGAAAGCTTCATCGATAAGCCCTGGGATATTAATGTGCATCAATACACCAATATAATGTATGACAGGCATTTAGAATGCTTAACATGATCCAAATCCGATTCATTTCATTCTCTTCTGTCTGCAGGAGCATAAAGTGAAAAGAGGCAAAAGATTGACAGTTTTCATCTTCCCTCTTTGAGCAATCTTTCCAATTTATTCCTCTTACACTATTTTGAATGTTGTCACTTTTCTGATCCACAATTTGTTTAATTATCTTCAAAAGAGGAATAACAAAAAGATTAATATCAAAACTACATTTGTAACACAATTTTCAAAGAGACCCTGGCCTTTTATTTACGAGCACATATTTTATCAAAATATTGTCTCCTGAGAGAACCATATAGATGAGGTAAATCACAACATTTCACAGAGAGTAATAGTGCACTTTTGGTATGATATTTCTTTCTTTTTTCTGCTTCTAAATACAGTCATTATTCTCTTGTATCCAAGCCAAATAATGAATGTATGAATGGAAGAAAAAAAATCACATTAAATGTGATAAAATGCTAATCTACACAAACTGTAATTCCATCGCAGATCTGACAAATTTTGCAGTAATTAAATTGACTAAGGTGAGAAGAAAACGAAGCATGGACGATCCACTCAAATTATGAATCAGCAAAAACTTTCAACTTGGGTGAATTATCTGCTACAACCTGAGGGGTACAGCTCTAGATAAACCATTAGCGTTAATCGACTGCCAATTAAATGCAAGTCTAGACCTCGTTCATTCATACCTTTTTTTCGTCGGATAACGTACTGCTAATGATCGGCCAGGGAGATAAATTGCAAATGACGAAGCGGTAAAAAGGTGTTCCAGTGGCTCAAGAAAGAGTTGGCTGAAATATTCCTTCAATATTAGATTATCCTGACAGAGCTACAAAGATTTGATGGACCTCTTGGTGAGCGCTAATTCCATTCCTGTGAAAGACAAATCCAGTGCTGATTGGAAGACAGTGGAAGCAGAGAGCATCTTCGCCCACCCCTGGCCCACTGGAGCGGTACTGGTGGTGGTGGTGTGAACTCAACTAGCACTGGCGTCCAATGTGTAGCGAAGCCATCCGTCTCGGACAAAGGACGGAGTACAAAGTGATTTGATAAAGCTGATCCAATGTAAATCCCAGTCCATTCAATGCAAGGTTTGAAAGGGGAGGCGGAGTGTGCAGAGAGCCACAGAAACTAAAACCCAATTAGTCTCAAATCTTCAGACCCATATTTCTTTTCAGGAAGGATTAGATACAACCAGGTACTCTCTGCAGTACATGCTCACACACGGAGGAAGTATACCTCCTGAAGAAGGTCATGCAGGTTCTTGAAGATTCGAAGGAAATAACAAGGGTCCGCTCCTATCACTTGGGGTGATCTCTTTTGCAGAGAAGGGAAGAGATATGCCAAAAATTGTGCCAAGATGGGAAAAAACAGATTTACCTTTTAAACCCAGATTCAAGATAGCAAAGTGATCAACTTACCTATATTAAATCCAAATGTCAAATTTTCCCTATCGATTTCCAGATGGGTATTCATTCTAAGTTAACACTTTGATGGCTCTCATTATCATCAGCAGACAATTTTAGGAAGAAAAAAAAAACAATACAAAACAAAAGAAAACAAACAAATGTTCCGGATTTCTCTCTTCAATATCTAACATGAGATAGGAATGACCAAAAGGGAACATCATCTCTAAAATCCTAAAATCAAAGACTGGTTATCCTGTAGGTTTTAGCCAGCCTATTATTTTCATTGAATAGGAACCTCGTCTCCAGTGTGTGTGTAAATTGTGATTCAGGCTTGGCTAAGCATCACTGCACACAAAAGTCTGTTTTACCAATCTAAACTATAGTGGCAATTTTTAAGTGTCCTGGTTTCTTTTATGTTGTTTTCCAGTCCCTATTCTTTAGTTTTGTAAGAGAATACAAACCAGGAGTCAGGTGGGTGTGTGTCTGTGATAAATAAATAAAGGAAGGTAACATACCAGTCACACCACTAAACCAACTCGAAACCAACTGAAAATTGACTCAAAACCAGTTCAAATCCAACTCAAAGTTTATTCAAAACCCACTCAAATTTTACTAAAAACCAACTTAAACTGACTCCAAATATGCAACTATAACTTCAAACTGATCACAAACCAGCAAAAAGAAAACTCCAAACCAACCAACTGATTCCAATTTCCAACCCAACCGATTCTTGGCTATTTAGGGGTATACATGCATACGGTAGGAAAAATTCTTTGTTTGATCTATTGTCGGTCCGGTGCTGGTTTCGTTGATGTGACCACCGTGTGACTGGGTGATTACTGGGTAATTTTTATCAAGTAAATACACAACAACCGGCAAAAACAGATTAAAAGTGGAGGAGACAGAGACACAGAAACGAATGGGACCATTGAAATAGAATTAATTCCATGCTACATTTAGTTTTGGAGTAATCTGTTAGCAATCTTACAATTGTCCACACATACTTTTGTTATTGTTTGTTTACTGGTTTATTGTTTACATGGGGTTATCGTTTGTTGAGTTTAATGGGGAGTTCACCTGAGTGATCTAGAAACCATGCTCAATGAACCTTGTCAATATCATACAACTAAACTATTTTTGTTGAAAAAGCAGAAAATCTTGTTTAAAGGTTTTGGGTACCGGTATGTCCAAAAGAAATAGTAATGCTCCATTCACTTATAACCTAAAGGCATTTAATAAATACTTGTTACTGTAATAATGAATTTTCAAATTAACTTCCCTATGAGTATTAATTTAGATATGTACTACAAAAACTCAAGTGTGTTTTGAATTGATATAAATTTATTCACACTCTCAGCTTAGTTCCTCTACTGTTTGCACGCTTTTTATTCATTCTAAATATCTATCTTATGTATCACTCCAACACTTTGTTGACATCATCATTTTTTTAGCAAACAAATATTTTGCACAAGCCACAACAAAAGGGTGAACAAATATTGGAAGAAAGAATTTTTACAAAACATGTTTCACTATGACAACCACAAAACGGATTATACTAGAATCAACAAACAATGAATTTGGATTCAAGTCTTTTCTATGCTAAACCAAAAAAAAGGTTCAATATTTTCTTTGCGTTCAGGCTACCAAAATTCAATCTATGTAAACATGAAAATCGTTTTAAGTATCGAGTCTGAATCACTGAATGTCTACTAACAAAACATGGTATACTGAAATGCTTGTACATGTATGAGCATCATTCCCACGAAAACTTGATCAACATTTAGTGTCCCATTCTCAGTGGTCTCAATTCTGGTTCGTACGAAAATCGTATAACTGGACCGGGGCTTATCGTCAGCGCGAATTGATGATTGGCAACTGACATCTTCAAATCTAGCTTGCAAATGCAATGTTTCTTTATAAAAGTTGCGTATACATTTGGTCTAGTCTGAACAGGCAATAAGCCATCGCCCACAGGTGGGTATTGGTGTCGATTTAAACTATTTGTTTACTTCAATTCAGAACTGTTTTGTAAAGAAATTCATTTTTCATACCGATATGAATACACTGCCTAAGTATCAGGAATCTATTGACAAATTAGAGGATCAGGCAGGGAGGTGAAGCTCTATATAGAGGGGATTTGGTAAGCTTAACTGCTACATTACCCCCCACAAACCATAATCATATTTTAAAATTGCAGCCCCTTTTCTTCTCCTTCTCTCTCTATATCTCTCTATGTCTCTTTCTCTCTGTCTCTCTGTCTCTCTCTCTCTCTCTCTCTCTCTCTCTTGTTGTCTGTTTGTCTCTCTCCCTGTCTCTTTCTCTCTCTATGTCTCTCTCTCTTTCTCTCTTTCTCTCTCTCTATCTCTCTCTCTCTCTCTCTCTCTCTCTCTCTCTCTATATATATATATATATCTACCTATATCTCCTTCTCTTTCTCCCCCCCCCCCCCCCCTTCCCCTCTTCCCCTTTCTCCAGCTACACCTACCTCTTCTTTAAATATATACCTACATCTACACCACAAAGCCTTGTTTTCATGTTTTTGTAAAATAGTCTAAATCTTTCAATGTCAAACTATGTCACCTTTTTTCCCTTCTTTTCTATACAGTATGTGCATACTGGAAAAAATGTAAGCCTACCCAGTTATAACGTCTTTCATTCTTACAGAACTCATTGAATAAGTCAAAGACACTGATACTATCTGCCATCCTTTGTTGGAATGTATCTCATCTTCACAAATTGTTGACGAAGTACAAAGTCTGACAAATTGGATATTGTTGCACACGATCCATCACAAAAACTACAAAACCCTCTCTTTGAATGGCAAAAAACTTACAAGCTCGGTCAAAAGAATCTAAAAAATACCTACAAGTTCAAAAGAGAATGTTCCCATATTTTTCTTTATATCATTCATCATTTTCTAACCTGAACCTGTACATGCCATCCTGACGTATGCACCACAAATTGAATCATATTACGCATACAAGAGGGGCTGCGCACGACATACAATGATTGCACAACTACTAGATTGACTAGCAATGTGAATGAGCAGATCAAAGGCACCTCTAGGCCTGTCATCATCAGCTCGAGATTGCCAAATAGCCTGTTATTTCTGATTTAGGAAATAATGCTGAAGTTACAAATCCCGTCTTCAGCTTGAAACTGGACGTCAAAACTTGAAACTTGAGGTCGAGAAATTAGTTCGAGATATTTTGCTCAGCGTTCAGGTATATAGTGCGAGTCTTCGGGCTGGTGAAAACGCACCGGATGAATAGCAGGATATTTTGCCACATAGCCCAAGATATCTTGGGATGATTATCTCGACCAAATATCCCGCTAATTGTAACTTCGGGCTGATAAAGAAGTAATTAACTGGATAATTTGCAATCGGGATAGTTCAAATAGCTGGATATTTGGTAATATCGAGCTGATGAAAACAGGCCTATAGTGGATGAGCAGATCAAAGGCACCTCTGTGTAGATTTTAGTACCCTGAACTGTCACAGGTACAAAGGCAATTAATCAAAATCTTACCATATGTTTGATCAAAGAGAATAAAAAATTGGGTCAACGAAGCCCAACTAGTGACTTCCTTCCGCTAAATCCATTCCGACTCGTGCATTGTCAAACCTTCCATTTTTTGTTCCTCTGCTGGCGCAAAGTAGTGCTGCCCTAGCTCCACAGGGGGGTAGTGACCTGCACCCTAATTTAGTCCTATGGGGGTCAGGTTAGTCCCCTGTGGCAGGTGGATTTGATATTAAGTAGAAATGTAGCAATGTTAGTATAAATCTATTGAGACAATTTGTTTTGGAGATATTGATTCAAATACATGGTATAAACATGGTTCAAGAATATCAATATATTTCCCCAAGGCTATATTTTGTTTGGTTAAATAATTCTGTACCACTGGGACATTCCTAGTTAAGAGACCAATAGCCAACATAACAGATAACCTACGAGATCAACAACGTCAGTTTCGTGACTCGTGAACCCTCAAAAACATTGTCAGGAGGTCCATAAGATTGTCAATGTCTTTTTCATCAATATCCTCTCCTTTCCTGTCGTGAAATCAAATACACATGACGATTTTGCATTTTTGGCAACAAGGAATAATAAGGAATTAAGGAGCAAAATAAATGTTCTTAGTCAGCATGATTTATCATTCTTTTCCTAAAACACAAACAGTAACTTCAGCCATATTCCAAATTACCACACTAACAAGGGCATCTGCATCACATATCACAAAAATACAAGTTGAACAAAATAATACTCCTAATCCCACTAGCATGGATCAGCAAGAGAGAGAGAGAGAGAGAGAGAGCAAACAACATTCCTAATCGCTTCCACAAGTGCACAGACAAGACAGAAGCATCATTCTTAATCCTACTTCAAGTTTTTGCGCCCCAAAGTCATCAAATTGTCTAATCCATTTCTAGGAGAAGAGACAATTGCTTTTTAAGGTCATGGTATGCCTAGCTGTATTGATCATTGTCTCAGCGCTTATTAGCTTACAATAACACTGCTGGTGTTTGCAATGAAATGGATTGTTCTGCTTCTGCTGGATTGCTAAGCTCGTTGATCCAGACTTAATCTGGTTGAAGAGAAAACAAGATGTTTGGGGTGAAATGAACTATTTTAACCATGACTGGAAGT